GCCTTCTTCCCATAGTGCATCCTTCTGCCATCTCTTCCTGAGGTAAACAATGCACTAAAAGAACACGCGATTCATCAGATTAGGCAACTTTCTTCCATTACTCCATGGTCTAGTTCTGATGCTCATATCCCCATTGAAGGTGCTTTCAGCAGTGTACAGGGGTCATCATAGGCATTCTGAATGGCCTGCAGCTATGCAGCCCCATATGCAGCAAACTGCAATGCACTGTGTTTCTATCAGTGCCAGCATTAGGTATTTTAGCTATTTGAGCATTTCCGTGTGATAGTACAAAAAGGGCAAGCCTTTGGTGCCTTGGGCGCTCAAGATTGACACCAGTTTCCCCAGTTGTCCTTCCTTGCACCACTTTTGGAAGGTACTAACAATTGTATATCAGGAACACCCCACAAGACTTGCTATTTTGCAGATGCCCTGACCCAGTTTATACTCAGTTGTCTAGCCATCATAATTTGGCCCTGTTCAAACTCACTCAGATCTTTTCACTTGCCCATTTTTCCTGCTTCGCATGAAATTCAAGAACTGACATTTCACTTGCTTCCTAATATATCCCACCCCTTGACAGGTGCCAATGACACAACCAATGTTATTCAAATTACCTGGTAGTGGTTTTAATGTTGTCGGACGATCAGTGTATATATAAACTTTTATTGAACGCATTTTTGAGTCATATTTTATTCCTCACTTCTCAATGTAAGTTCAACAACTTCATGATTTAGAAATTTAAGTAAGTAGATGATTACAGCATGTATCACATTACTGTCTGCTTTCAGTACAACTGCATATCTACTCAACAAAACTCCCAAAGTAATATATGCTGTGCGGTTAATGTAGCTCTAGCAAGTACCAAAAATGACAAAGCATTGAAATAGAACTTTGCTTCTCCAAAATCAAACATTTCCACAATTTTAGAATGGAAAATTGGATTGGGAGAATAAACTCTTCAAAGACGTGATGGTTCTTATGTACTCAACAGAGCAACAATTGTCATATGTGTTTATTCCTTCACTAGAGCAGAAAATGTGAATAATTAACAAGTCAAATTTTAGTTTATGCCAAAATATCTAAATATGAAAGGCTTTCCAACATAACTTACTCAATTACTTACAATTTCATGTGAAAAAAAAAATCAAATTTGATATCTCTCTCTTATGGAGAAAATACATAATGTGATGTATTTGAGCACATGGCTTGAATTGCAAAACAATCGCTTGTATTCATTGACCTTATCACACACACCACCACCTATACTGACACATGCAATCACACTTTAAATGCACTATATTTCCCAGAAATATCATTCCAAAGTCCATTAACCCTAAATAAATATGGTTTACTTCATTACAACTAAAAAAAACTCATACTTGCTGTCTAATGATATTTAGATTGCTACCTCAGTGTTTTCATTTGATGTGCATTGTATTTCTGGAAATGTGTAATGTATTAAAAGATGGCTGAAATCCTTTTAAACAAGCCGAACCTATTATTCTCTCTCTTGCTTCAGGCAGAAAGCAATGACCTTAGCTATGATTAAGTCATGCGATATTATAAATCCACCACACAATTTTAATTAAATGGAATTCATGAGAAAAACATGAGGTTACATTTACTAAACAGTCAATTGCAATAACTTGTGAAATGAATTACAAAATGTAGACCAACAAAGAAGAATTTGAAAATAATTCTCAACTTGATGATATTTACCCTGCCCAGGGGAAGTAGATAGAGTGTATCATTTGATTGATATTTAGGAGAGGTTTCCCTTCACAATGAGGGAAACCCGCTACACTGTAATACTAGGTACGATCCCATGATACTTCTCCCCAATAGGACGTACAGGGTTTTCAAGCTGCAGTCTTCTACCCACAGGGACTATATCCTGGCAGAGTTATTAAGCAATTGGGGAATAAACCCTGCACAAGAGTTGTGGATGTGATCTCTTTGGATTTTGCCAAGGCATTTGATACAGTTCCACACAATAGATTAGTGTTCAAACTCAAGGAAATCGGTCTAGATGAAAATGCTTGTTCTTGTGTAGAACATTGGCTTAAAAACAGAGTACAAAGAGTTGTCATCAATGGTAAATTTTCAAGCTGGACAGAGGTGGCAAGTGGTGTCCCTCAGGGGTCTGTTCTGGGACCCCTTCTATTTAACATGTTTATAAATGATCTTGAAGACCGCATTGAAAGTCATGTTTCAGTGTCTGCAGATGACACCAAACTTTGTATAACAATACAATGTGAGCAAGATATTACTTTGCTGCAGAGGGATTTAGATAGACTGGGGGACTGGGCACTCAAATGGCAGATGAAATTTAATGTTGAAAAATGCAAAGTTATGCACTTCGGCGTAAAGAATACACAAGCAACGTATACCCTTAATGGAAGCGAATTAGGGATAACAACACATGAAAAGGACTTGGGAATTGTTATAGACAACAAACTATACAACAATGTGCAATGTCAATCAGCAGTGGCCAAGGCCAGTAAGGTATTGTCATGCATGAAAAAGGGCATTCATTCTCGGGACAAGAATATAATTTTGCCTCTTTATAAATCACTGGTAAGACCCCATATTGAATATGCTGTGCAATTTTGGGCACCTGTTCTAAAGAAGGATATTATGGCACTAGAAAAAGTGCAGAGGCGGGCTACAAAATTAATAAAAGGAATGGAACATATCAGCTATGAAGAAAGGTTAACAAATTTAAACCTATTTAGTTTAGAAAAACGTCGCCTGAGAGGGGATATGATAACATTATACAAATATATTCGGGGCCAATACAAACCATTGTGTGGAAATCTATTCACAAACCGGACTTTACATAGGACACGAGGCCATGCGTTTAGACTGGAAGAAAGAAGATTTCGTCTAAGGCAAAGGAAAGGTTTTTTTACTGTAAGAACAATCAGGATGTGGAATTCTCTGCCTGAGGAAGTGGTTTTATCAGAGTCCATACAGATGTTCAAACGGCTACTAGATGCATACTTGCAAGAACAGAATATTCAAGGATATAATCTTTCAATGTAGGTAATAACTGCTTGATCCAAGGATAAATGTGACTGCCATTCTGGGGTCAAGAAGGAATTTTTTTCCTAGCTTGTTGCAAAATTGTGCTTCAAACTGGGTTTTTTTTGCCTTCTTTTGGATCAACAGCAAAAAACAAATGTGAGGTAGGCTGAACTTGATGGACGCAAGTCTCTTTTCAGCTATGTAACTATGTAACTATGTAAGAGTTAAGGTGTTTTGGTTCTATGTCTGCCTACATTTTTTTATTCATTATTTTTTCGTTTTTGGGTTCATGTTATAGGCATTAGTATACTTTTTATCTACCAATATTAAAAGTTAAGTTTTAACTTGTACAGGTATTAGTTAGGAACCGCCTACAGGTTTTGGACCCTTGAGGTATTTTCTCTCCTTTGGGTCCTTCTTTTCTTTTTGTTGTATACACATATGTGAGGGTTATCCCCTATAAGGTTGTCCCTGACACACACTTAAGCTAGCTCCCCTAAGGGGTTTCTAGCTTCCTTTTCTAATTCCCAACTTGGCTGAATTTGAAAATGTATCTACCTCTATTATTTTCTTCTTAGGAAATAAACCACACTTTTGTTGGTTTTATATATTTCTCAAACTAGGACAAAATATATGGACTTTAAAATATGGATTATATATTAAAAAAGGCCAGATGTATGTGCCTGCTTCTGCCTTATAAAGGCTACATGCTATGTTATATACACATACAATTTATACAGAAAGATTCCTAAACACATTTATTGTAATATAAAGACACATAACTGTGAGTATTAATGCTGTGGAGCTCTGTTTTTTTGTTTGTTTTTTACATTCGTTATTTTTTTGTGCTGAGAAGTACAAAACATGCCTGTAGTGCCACAACAGCAGGTACAAGCTTATCAGGATAATGCAGAATGATCAGTATTATGCTATGTTAAACAGCAAAATTTTAAACTTAATTTTAGCTCATTTTAAATGAAACAGAGATATAATACAGTAGGAATGGTGCTCAGCCTACTAGCCCACTTCTTCAGCATGAAGTAGTGGCTTGGTTAGAGGGTTGTAGACACAGAAACAAGAGTAGGTCAAGCAATTTACTGAGTAAGAGTAGTGGTGTGTGTTTTAACCAGATATAAAGCCTTATGGCAGGTATGGCAGTTAATTCAGGCTATATGCTAAGTCAGGTAGGCTAAGGTGAGATACTAAACGTACTAGGAATAATGGAGCATGCTAGACTAAAGTTAACAACAAATTAGCTTAATGGCCACTGGGTATTCAACATTCTTGAAAAGCTCAGCGAGGAGAACAGAATTCCCTATTTTGGCAGGAAAATAACAATAAAGTCTCTGTTCATCTGATGCCACACAGAGGCCTCGAGACACCGGTAATTTCCATGTTGGGCCACGGCAGAAAGACCAGCTCCATTGCCATAGTAATTCCCGCTTTCATATCCACCAGACCAGGTGAGTAGTGCTGTAAGTGTCTCTGGGACTTCAGTGCCATGAATCTTCGGCTCCAGGCAGATGGCATGATCATGGGCCTGCAGGTTCACAGGATTCCGGGGCACCCATTGTGTATGAGGTCACCAGCATGGAGGTTTCTCCGAGTGGGCAACCACCCCAGAAGTGGCACGAGCAGCTGAGACTGCTTTCCAGGCTCAGCTGTCTATCAGAAGGGGTAGTATGTCAGATCTGTGGGCAACAGTCTTCCAGAGCCTCCAGAAGATATCATCAAAGCGTGCATTGAAGAGGTCTCTCCACCCCGGGGCCTCAGGGCCTGCTCGGCACTGTTGAGATTTTGACACGGCAACCATCTTGGTCCCACCATGTGGCTTCTAAGGCCAGTGGAGTGTCTTGCGATACAGGATGAAACCAACCCAGTGGGGACTGGGATGACCCTCGCCGGTCCAAAGAAAGGGGTTACGGGGCTCCTTGAAATCTGCCACAGGACTTGCACACTGCATCGGGAGATTGGCCGACTCTCCCCTCTGCCCGCGCACCAACCCAGTAGGCCTTGAAGAGAATGGACGTGAATGCTGGTAAGCAGAGTGTTCCTGGCCAGGTTCAGTCGGTTTCGCGCTGCTAAGTTTGCAGTTTGCTCGCAATTCAGTTCCCCTGGAGTCAGAATTATCAGCTATTTCGCTTTAATATAGCTCAATTTGCCTGGAGCTAGTGGAAAGTGTGTCCGTCCATCTTGGCTGTCAGGCTCCAACCCAAGTGGATCTCTGTTACACAATCACACGCCAAAAATATGGAGCTCCTAGACAAGAGGGATATGAGGAGAGAAAATAGAGCCAGAAAGTTTGGAGTTCAAAATATGGACTGTCCATCCTAAATAGGGACACTTGGGAGGTATGATATACTTCATATACAGCCTCCATGAGATTTTCAAGACTGACAAGCATTTCAGCAATTCCCTAATCAGATGGTCTCTAAGAGATAGAGTTAGTTGAGTTTTACTTGCTATTTCAGAGGAGGTGCCTCTATAGGCTGTCAATGCCATTTCAACCATGCAATGTTCCTGCAGAACGGAAATGTTTTGAATTACAGGGTTAAACAGTCAGAAACTGGGCACCCAGACCACTTCCTTAAGATGAAGTGGTATGGGTGCCTATAGTATAGTGCCCTTTGATATCTGTCCTTTGGTATTCAGCAAATGCTGTTGCCTTGTGACACGGCTTTATTCTATTCCTTAACTGACTAAGCACAGAGGACCTGTCAGGCGTTTAGCGCATGCACAGCGAATGGGTGCTTCCATCGTAGCACCCTATCAATTATTGTCATAAGCTCCGTCCTTTTTAGCTTGCAGCCAACATATTCAGAGAATAGGATATATTAATGTTCCAGTTTCCCTTTCAATTTTCTAATAGGTGCTCTGGCTATGCTTATACTGAACTGTATTCTGATGTAATTTGCTAAACAGTTACTTCAACCAAAAAAACTGTGTTTTCATGAAACACTATTTTTAGTTAGAGATACTTTTTCTGTGGTGGTCCACCACTCTTCTCCCAATTGCAAAAAAATATACACAGTTATTCACTAAACACAAGATTTTGTCCAGATGGATTAAATCTGGTAAAAATGACTGAATGCCAAACAGAATGACAATTCTCATATTTAGTAAAGCCAAATATGGTCGGAATTTCATCTGAGTGAATCTGCAGCAATCACCTGGATGCATTCGATGTCCAGATTAAAATTAGTGCTTTCACATCCGAATTTTATACAAAGTATAGACTTGGAAATATTTACAAAGTACTGGTTTTAATAAAATTTTGAACCGATTTTGGAATTGATGCACATTCACAAATTATTGTTCACTTGCTTTTATGCAAGAAAACAAAAGTTTTAAGCACTATTTGCCCTTTGGTAGTTCTAGAATCCGGCTGACAAAGTTAAAACCCCTGTACTGCTCTGTAGGATCAGCGTTTCATACTAAAATACTGGACATACAGACTCAAGGCACCATGACCACTTCAAATAACTGAAATGGTAATGTTGCTTGCAGTAACTGTTTACTATAAATATTAAAGAAAGTGGACATAGGATTAAAAAAAATTTATTAACACAATTTAGAGATGACTGCTGATGTTTTATTCAGTGGTGTAATTTCTAGAGAAGTACTGATTCCCCATTTAAAGGGACACTATTAGCATTAGGAATACATATCTGTATGTCTAATGCTACAGTCAGAGTGTCCCTAGTTAGGTTTTGGCCTCTCCCCAGTGAGCATTTTAAAAGTAAATCAATTTATTCACCTTCTCTGCAGCACTAAGAACTGTGGTGATATCCTCCTAGCATGATGTCATCCTGGAGGTGTGCCTCTCGGGTGACGGTCCACTCAAATGCCCCTCATGGAAGCAATACGCCATTAATTCTGCAAAAGAGAATCATCACATGAAATGATTCTCTATGACAGACTGTGACGGCACTGTGCATGCTTGCATGACATCACGGTATAAATTGGTATGAGAGCTGGGAAGTTCCACTCCAGACTCTACTACACAGAGGCTTGGAGGCATGGCTTGAAGGCTTCAAATTATCAACAGATTATATTTTGGGTGGTTATGACAGGGATTGTAGGACTGAAGTCACCATAACAACTTCGATGAGACGAGATAAGTGCCTAGCCCTCTAGTGTTCCTTTAAGCCTGACTACCAGGTGAAGACATTCTCCAGAAATAAAAACAGTAACAAAATCACATCAGTTAGAAAAACAAAATAAGAAATATTAGCTGTATGTAATGCAGACGATAAAGTCTGGGATACCTTTTGATTTATTATTTCAGTTAAACAAATGCTCTGAAATCAATAAGCTGGTATAGAGGATCCCCAAGGCCATGAGAACAGATTTGTTACCTACCTATAGAGGTATATCTTCTCTGTGTTGAAATGTCACTGCGCAGTAACCATTGATGCAGATTTAAATGTTTATTTTTTCAAAGAAAAATCACAGCTATCTCGTAATAGATAATCTAGTCACAAGATATAATAGAGATCTGGTCATGTATTGCAAACAGAGGTGGAAATAATAGCAGTTGTTTCACTCCCTAGATACAAATAAAATATTACATTATTCTGAGGAAATTCACATGTGCCATTCTGTAAGGCCCCTTGCCATGCATTATAAACAGGTGCACTAATACTGTTTGACACATAGTTTTTTAAAATAACACATTGTTACTCTATAGTTTCCCTCTTATAGTTGGATCGTTCATTTTAAGTATTTATGTGGTTTTACAGCAGTTTTTCACCATTTAGTAGATCATTTTTTATATATATATTTATTTATATGGGCAAGCACAGATTAGCCCTACTCTCAAGTGGCTAATGCTTAAAAGGATTCTCCAGACCCCTAAAGCACTTTTGCCTGATGAAATTCTTTATGTGTGAAGTGTGTGTAGATGTCAATTGCGAATGAGCTGCATTGGGAAGTCAGTGATTGGACAGCCACAGAAAGTCTAGGCTGGGATAGAAGAGGAGGGCTTGCAAAGACATTAGATAGGAAAATTGTAGTATTAGCAAGCTGTTTTAAAGGATCACTATAGTGTCAGGAAAACTAAGTGGTTTTCCTGACACTATAGTGCCCTGAGGGTGCCCCCACCATCAGGGTCCCCCTCCCGCCGGGCTGAAGGGGTTAAAACCCTGACTGGCTTAACCCTGCAATGTAAACATAGCAGTTTTTCTGAAACTGCTATGATTGCATCTGCAGGGTTAAAACCTGAGGGACCTGGCACCCAGACTACTTCATTGAGCTGAAGTGGTCTGGGTGACTATAGTGTCCCTTTAAGATCTAGCTCCAATCAAATAATGCATATTTAAATGTATGCTACTAATGTATCTACTAAGCAGTGATTTATTTATCTTTTTGTATTTTTGCAGTGGAGTGATCTTTTAAGAGTTTACCCACTTGGAGGAGGTGTGGTAACTAACTCCAAGCTTCTCACTTGTCATTTAAATTACATTAAAGACTAAGCAATTATGAAAGTTGCCTTGGTAAAGTCACACTTAATAAAACACATAGACTGCTGATTTATCCATAATTTGCTTCCGCTTATGTAGTGCACTTGCTAAGGCTGCTGGATTGTTTTTTATTGTTTGTTTTTATATCCCAAGGGGATATAATAAACACTTTTGTATTTTAAATAATTTGGAGCACCACTTATGCCTTTTTGCTGGAGAGCAAATTTTAATAAAAATCTATATATATAAGCCTTGTCTGTGTCTTATTACTGCTGTGCAGACTGGAGGTAGCTTGTCAGTATAGCCATTGTATACAGTCTTTTTAATGAAAAAAAAAGAACCTTTTGTATGAAAAAATGTCCAAACAAAGGTGCAGGGACAGCTGGAATAACAAGTCTCCCAACATCTACAGAAGTGTGCACTATTAACTACAAAAAGAACAAAAAATAATACTAACATGAAACAGGAAAAAAACAATTGGAGTGCATGGCAGTAATATGGATAATGTACTGCTGCGTGTCTGGGGATTTCAAATATATCAGTCTTACATACATTAATTGAAATCATCTTTAAGAACCCCAAGAATCTTGAGTTTGCTCTACAATTCTCTTGCAGAGGTTTAGGTCAGATCTTAGATAATCAAAGGGTTACTCCAAGCACCAGGACCTCTTCAGTGATTTGAAGTGCTTATGCACGCTGGGACTTAAGGGAGTATTATTTGGCCATTTTTGGGGGTTGAAGAAAAAAAGATTTAAGAAGACAGAAGGCATTTTATCCTAAGTATATATATATATATATATATATATATAATTATTATTTTTTACATATAGTAGTTTTATTGCCCCTTTCATTATTATGGTTAGGTGTAGTAGGTAGGGTACTTTCATTAAGGAGAAGGGCATGGGGCCCCATAGCCACCAGAGGGTGGGGACAGGGTGGGGGGCATATGAGTGCTGTTGACAATGGCTTACCTCTCTTGTATATTTATTAGAAACCCCCTCCATTGGCAATGGGCTGTACGCAGTTTAGTTTGATGTGGCAGGTAAGCTTAAACTTAAATGGTTGTTTGAGTGATATTAAAAAGCCCCAAGTTATTTGAATGTGCATAGGGATTTGGTATAGTGCTGAAGTACCTTTTTTCTTGTTTTTCTTATTGTATGTATTGGGTTTGATGTGTACTATAGTTATTGCTGCTGCCTAGGATTGAAGAGCTCTAATGACATTTATATTATTTTTACTCTCATTTTGTGAGTGAGAGTCCAAGGGAATTAACGAGGGAGGTTCTGGGGGCTGTCGGCCGCATTATGGCTGCCAGCGAATGGAGGGAGCTTTCTGTGCTTCTCCTGCTCAACCCTGTACTTAAGCTCCGCCTCCACACTCATGCATCACCCCCAGACTCAAGCAAATGACCTCACCAACTGGAAGAGGCCTAGAAGTGCAAACTTTACCTCCCGTTGTGCCCCCAGCATTCATTGTCAGATAGGCTTACTGAGCAACACATGACTGAGCGTTAAATGTGTGTGTATGTGCCTGCTAGTGAGTTAGCTTGTCTGTAGAGAACATTTGTGTGTCCTTGAGATTAACTGTAGTGAGCATGTGTTTGCCAGTGAGCTTGTCTTTAGTGAGCAAGTGTCATCAAACTTGTTTTAAGTGAGCTTGTGTCAGTGAACTTGTTAGTAGTGAGCATGTGTGTGTCAGTAAGCTTGACTGTAGTGAGCAAGTGTCAGTGAACATTGGTGCCAGTGAGCTTGCCTGTAGTGAGCATGTGTCAGTGAGTTTGTTAGTAGTGAGCATGTGTGTGTCAGTGAGCTTGATAGTAGTGAACTTGCCTGTAGTGAGCATGTGTCAGTGAGTTTGTTAGTAGTGAGCATGTGTGTGTCAGTGAGCTTGATAGTAGTGAGCATGTGTGTGTCAGTGAGCTTGTTAGTAGTGAGCATATGTGTGTCAGTGAGCTTGTCTGTAGTAAGCATCTGTGTGTGTCAGAGAGTTTGCCTGTATTAAGTTTCTGTGTGTACCAGTAATCTTATCATTGCAAAGAGTCAACTGCGCTTCAGACTGACCAACGCAAACCTGGAAAAGCAGTTTCGAGGAGCAACATAATCAATACCAGCTAACATCACATGTCCTCACCAAAGAAAACCAGTTCAAGCCATCACATTAGGAGTTAATTAAATGTGTGACCAAATATAGCAAGCTAATTTTTAAGTTGATAATTTTGTATGGTCCACAAATGACTTTAATATCCAAATGGCTCTTGGCAGAAAAAAAAAAGTTTGCCCATCCAAGTTCTAAAAGATAGCAGCAGCCATAGGCGAGCGCACAGGGTGTGCCGGGTTTGCCTAGGCACACCCTAATCCCCCGCGGCACGCGCTATGTGCCTCCCTCCAAGAGGGAGGCACAGCTCAGCCAGCAGCTCAGCCGGGTTCCTCACGCGCGGTCGGAGCGTTGCCGCGGTTACCGCAGCAACGCTCAGATCCCGTGAGAGTGAACTCTAGCCCAACAGGGGGCTAGAGTCACTCTCCACTGGACCACCAGGGAAGGCAGGAGCACGGCCCCCCCTCCCTACATAAGGTGAGAAGGGAGGGGGGATATTAACTAAACGGCCCCCACATATTACACACAAACATACAGCACACACACATACATCACCCTTACACACACACACATTAACAGCACCCTCACACTAACAGCACCCTTACACATACACACACAGTACACACTAACAGCACCCTTACACACACTAACATCACCCTCACACACACAGCACCCTTACACACACACAGCACCCTTACACACACAGCACCCTCACACACACACACTAACAGCACCCTTACACATACACACACAGCACACACTAACAGCACCCTTACACACACAGCACCTTCACACACAGTGCCTTCACACACACAGCGCGCCCACACACACAGCGCCCGCACACACAGCGCCCAGACACACACAGCACCTTCACACACAGCACCTACACACACACACAGCACCTACACACAGCACCCTCACAGGGGGCTAGAGTCACTCTCCACTGGGCCACCAGGGAAGGCAGGAGCACTGTCCCCCCTCCCTACATAAGGTGAGAAGGGAGGGGGGATATTAACTAAATGGCCCCCACATATTACACACAAACATACAGCACACACACATACATCACCCTTACACACACACACACACACACTAACAGCACCCTCACACTAACAGCACCCTTACACACACATACACACACAGCACACACTAACAGCACCCTTACACACACAGCACCGTTACACATACACACACTAACATCACCCTCACACACACAGCACCCTTACACACACACAGCACCCTTACACACACAGCACCCTCACCCACACACACAAAGCACACATTAACAGCACCCTTACACACACAGCACCCTCACACACACACACTAACAGCACCCTTACACATACACACACAGCACACACTAACAGCACCCTTACACACACAGCACCTTCACACACAGTGCCTTCACACACACACAGCGCGCCCACACACACAGCGCCCGGACACACACACAGCGCCTTCACACACACCACCTGAACACACACAGCACCTACACACACACACACACACACACAAACAGCACCTACACACAGCACCCTCACACACACAGCAGTGTGTGTGTGTGTATGTATGTGTATATATGCAGATATGTGTATATATATATATATATATATGTATATATATATATATATATATATATATATACGCGGCGTGTGTGTTTCTGCTTTAGGGTGCACACCCTTATACAATAGGCTGCGTTATTTTAGTGCTAAACAATTTTGTTAGTTTTATTAAAACCATCTAATATCGGCAAAAAATTATTGTGAGTGCAAATGTTGCAATTGGCACACAGCCACTGTTCACTAGGAGCATTGTTAAACTGCTTAGCAAGTAACAGTTGACTGGAAAAAGTAGTAATGGCACTGGAAATGATCCTTATATAGGGTATAGCACAGTGATGGCTAACCTTAACACCATAAATAGTTTCTGGACTACATTTCCCATGATGCTCAGCTAGTTTTAGACTCTAAAAGCTAGCTGAGCATCATGGGAAATGTAGCCCAGAAACAACGTATCGTGTCAAGGTTAGCTCTCTCTGGTATTGCATGTGGATTTACTTTAAAAATTAAAACATGAAAAAATACTTTAAAAACCAAAGAATCATAATAGTGAGGCTAGTGAAACATTAAAAGTAAACTGTAATGCTGTAATGACTTGGGGGTACAGCAGTGTACCCAATACATTTTGATTAGGTTGACATGTGGTTAGGGAAATGTTTAGGGTTGAGAGGCTTAAGGTTAGGGATGATTTAGAATTATGGAGCATTTAATGTAGTGTGAACTGCAATACACTAATAGTTCTAAGCGTTGATTAACCCTAAGTCCCCCTAAGTCTAAACACCAGCTAACCATAAACTCTGCCAACTCAATCCCTAACTTTACCGAAACCTAACCCAGCACCCATAGCATCACTCTTTTTTCTGTGAATATAGTACCATTTCAGTATAGCTGCAGTCTCTTTGCGTATAAAACACATTGTGACCCCAGCTGACTACATTGATTGAATTTCTTCCCACATGTAACTAGGGGTGAACATTTTAGCTGTTTTAACCAGTAATAAGGTGTGTTTGCAGGCAGCACTAAGTAACAATTCTCTTGATACCACTTGGCAGCAGCACATATTGTCCCTCCAGTTAAAAAATGACAAGATACTGAAACTGTTATGTATGTTATTCTTTTTTAATTTTTAAAAAATGTTAGCATTTTTATAGTTAATTTTACTGTAACTTTACTTAAATGTATTGAAATTAGCCATATTTTTATTTTTCAACCACAGGTGTTCCATTATATCTACAACAGATACTATTATTTTTTTTAAACTATAACAAAACATGATTTCAATACTCTATTGGTACAACTACATTTTTTTGAATGTGCCAGTTCCACTTTAACTGGGGACACATCTGAAACATGCAGTGCAGCAATTTTAATAATTCAGCCCTAAAATATACCATCTTTGTAATTGTCTCTGATTTAAGTAGATATTTGGACATTGAGAGAGAGGAGTATTGCGAATATTAGAACTGGTCGCCTGTCCTTTTTATCCCATTTTTTCCCAATTTGTCCTGTTTCCCCCTTGTTAAAACACAATAAAGTATAATGTCAAATAAATTACAAAAACAATGTGCTCTTTACATTAAGATCTGGAATGACAGTGGAGATAACCACCCCTTTGCCACCCCAGGTTTCATAAGGTACCAAGAGACTTGTTTATCTGCATTTTTATACATGTACATATTTATAATCTTATTGTGGGCGGCTTCTGCTTGGTAACTTGATTGATATATTTGGTTACATACATTATATGGCTAAAAGTATGTTGGAACTCCTAACAAAAAATGGAGAAATAAAGTAAACAGATTGCAGGTCAGGACCCCAGATACAAGTCAAGGGCTTGTGAGCTGCACTTCTGTAACCGCCTGTAACCACCTTTAAAATATGCAGGAAATAGGAGAAAGTAATGTATAGAATCCCACAAGGGGTAACTAACATTGGGAGAGCTCCACTGCTATAAGAAATGAGGAAGGGGCCCTACCTTTAATCAATCTAAGGATAAAAAGGATATGCAAACAAAAAGTATAACTTGAAAAAAGGGGAGATCTACTAAATGGTACCCAGGGGATCCATTAACTAGAGTACTAAATAGCATCTAAGTTCTAGTTCCCATTCACCATTCTTATTCTGCTACTAAAAATAGATTCATGGGTATTGAATCAGTCCCCCAACCTCCACGTAAAGGAAATTGGGACCAAAAACTAAGGCAGGGAGAATCGTATTGGATTTACAAACTCAATACATTATCAGTGTTAAGTGAGGGATTCTCTTTTTCAGCCTTTTTGTAATACTCTCCTCATTAAAGGGGCTTAAACAACATTGAGGAACTCTTCCTTTCTAAGCTCCCTACCGTACTATTTGTATATTTGTAGATATGTAAATACGACACTTTTTATATGAACATGAACGGCCACTTTATTTCCACTGTGCCCATTTTGCCATTTGAACCAAGATACTGTCTGCCTTATCTAATGTATCCTGATTGGGGCACACTTCTCCTGATTGGATGTTTATTTCCCTATGTTTTGTAGGCATTACTCAATCTATAAAGACGGGTGGCAATTTTTTTACCGTACAACTGATGGGACAGGCACTGCAATAGATGCTCTTACAATGTTGTGAGCACTGTCGAGATGATATTCCCTGCACACTTCCAGTCAGTTCCACTCCATAATACAGTGGGTGTTCCAGTTACACTATGAGGTACACTTTGGGAATCCTTTAAGCCCACCTCACATATTCAGCCATCACGTCAACCTATGACAGGGACAAATCAGCGATACAGGGAGGTGAGGTTGTGTCCCGATGCTCTCCCTCTTGGCTGTACAGCTCACCTAACAGCCTATTATGAGTTATGAAACAAACGCCCATACCGGATGATGTGTTCCGCCCAGTCTGGTTCCACCCTATAGCAGTCCCGGTTAAAAGAATAATAATAGTAACAGGTATTTGTGTGGTGCCTTTCTCCCAGTGGGACTCGGGGTGCTTTTCAGAGGTGGCAAGGTTGGCAGCTGAATAGTAGTGGATGTTTTTGTTGCCCAATTGATTTTGCCAACCTTTAGAGGAATGGGGGGCTGAGTTGACCCTGCCGGGATTTGAACCTGTGGCCTTGCTTTTTTGAACAGGCTTTGTGGTTGGGGAGTTTGCCAACTGAGTTACCTCACTGGCTGGGTGCATCTTCACTATGATTTTGAGATGTGGAATATATGATGACATGCCACACCCCTGGTAGACTGCTGAATAGAGTCCCACATTAAACAGCTGCTGGCCATGTTTAATCAGCAATAGGTATTTAAATGGAACAACAAGCTGATCATGTTCACAGGTTCCTGACGACGGTGTTTTAACACGCTAAAACACGCGTTGAACGGTTTCTTTTTCTTTAATCAATGCACTTGGTAGCACTTTTTTTAATCTTTGTTACCACTATGTATATTGATTTTTAGATGTTTCTTTATTTATTTATAACTTTAGTAGGGAGAGTTGGTTCAGGTAGACACTAGTGGTCAGACCATGGTGTCGAGGTAACTCTTAGGGTGAATTGAGAAAAAATTTGTAGGCGTTTATCTCTGTTTAGACCAGATTATCTGGTCCCATGCTCTCTGTCGACCCTGTGCCTTTTCTCTCTCCCTAACCTCTTTTAAACTACCTTCCCATCAGTTGGACACTAGGAGATCTGGAACTTAAATGCATTTAGCACTCCAGTTAATGGATCCCCTGGGTACCGTTTAGTAGATCTCCATTTTTTCAAGTTATATTTTTTACTTTTTGTTTGCATATCCCTTTTATCCTTAGATTTATTAAAGGTAGGGCCCACCTTCCTCATTTCTTATACCAGTGGAGCTCTTCCGATGTTAGTTTTCCCTCGTGGGATTCTATACATCACTTTCTCCTATTTCCTGGAACTCTTTCTAACTATTGAATTCAGGTGTTTCCGCCTCACCCACATGTGCAATACCAAGTTTTGGCTGGATTGGGGAAAAACCTTGCCAGAAAAGTGTCAGCTGTTATAGAAGTAGAGTGATAGTCAACTGCCCACAAATTTGTCCATGCATATTTCATGAAGACTAATATAGATGTCCACTCTCCCCTTATGCTTTCAGGGAATTACCCACTTAATGTAAAGTGAGCTCCTTTTCTTGGTTATCAACTGTTTTAGAGGTAGATGACATGTACAAATTAGTATATATTATTATATATTGTTTCATTTAAAGCAAAATGCAACATATGACATACAGTTAATACAGTGCCCCGTTGATTTAAAAAATATGTAACTCAGAATGCTAAATCAAAATAATCAAATATATCATTTTGAGACAGAAAACAAGCGTTCAAAAAAGTAAAAATCTTTAGAAATTACAACAACAAAAAAAAGAAAGAAAATTTGCATTTTATTTACTAACATAACTGGTCACATTCGGCAACTGCTGTTCCAAACTTAACAAAATATTGAGGTACCTTGTGCAATCTATAGCTTAGACCTGTCTTGAGAATAAATTATAACCTCATAAAACTGATAAATGTACGTTCCATATTATCTGTTACTTTCACTGAATATAATCATATTTAGAAACACTGTCTTCACCTGAGTAGAAACACCTACCAAACCCCCTGTATTTATGTGAAAAAAGACTCTGTTAATGTTGCATCCTAGTTAGTCATGCCAACAGAACCAAACACACAGTCGAGGTTATGGTGCCAGGAGTGCCCTTATGCCATCCCATGGAATGTAGCTATGCTATTTTAGTATGGTACGACAACTTATGTGGGTGCTGCTAAGTACCTGTGGCCCCATAAACTGCTTATGGTTGTTTCCTTTAGCAGAATCCAGTTAGCTCTATAGAGTTCTACACCTAAGAGGGGTCATGCAGAACTGGGCTCACTGACTGAGAGCATCAGCTAAGTGCTCTCAGCCAAAGAGCATGCACTTTGTGCCATAGAGACATCTGGCTTCTCCTACAAGAGAACATCCAATGTGGCGCATGCACAAATTGCCAAACTGTACTAAAAATGGGTTGACTATTCTACTTAAAACTAGATTGCTCAGGGCACTCCTGCACCACTTTTAGGCAGTATGGTTTCATGATAAATGTCTTTGTTTTCTTTCATCTTACATCTGTATGGTATTTCAGGTAAAGTGGGGTGTGTGTGTATGTGTATAATTATTAGTGTAGGTGTTGTATTCAGAAATGAGCCAATGTTGTAACCTATTCCCTAATGGAATGAAGGCCTTTTCAAAAAGCTTGGGTGTTATTGTCATGGAAAGGGCATGTATTTCTATGGTGCTTTCAGAGTAATGAAGATAAAGTAAAAACAAATCAATACATCTACACCAGGAGCAGGGAACTTCGGCACTGCAGATGCTGTGAACTACATCTCCCATAATGCTCTTACACACATTCTGGTAAAGCATCATGGGAGATGTATTCCTGAGGGAGATGCAGTCCACAACATCTAAAATGCCAGGGTTTACATAGACCATGGTGTGAAGAAATGAGGGGCCATTTTCTCGGTACATTCTGGATAATACTATATATAATTTTATTTATTTTGCCTATATATTTATTCCATAACCCACTGTTTGTGATTTTTATTTTAGGTGAAAAAAATATGTATTGTGTCTCAACTCAGAATGGCCAAATTATATTTTAATATTAATGAACACGAAGCTACATATTATATAAAATATATTTTTGTTTCTGGTCTAATATTTTATTAGACACAACATTGTCTCATACTTGTACATTTTTATTGGACTTCGCTTTCATATTTTCCTCCAATTTGAAATCTTAATGTACATTCAGAACTGTATGAATCTGCACTGTTCTGAATAAATTGTCAATGTCACTGTGTTGCCTACCTTATTGCAGGTAAATGTATCTGAATTCACTCACGCCACCTAGTGTAATGGGCCATAATTGTACAGGCATCCCCCCACTCCCCATTCAAAATACTTAAAAGCCTGGTCAACTTTTGACATTGTTCTCTATATTGCCAGAGGACTCAAAAACAATTTATTTTCCAAGCCCTTTCAAAAAGAGAGGTGAAGCAGCATTACTTGACAAAAAAAAAAGGCTATAAAGTGTGTACAATTAACCCATGCTGTATATCATGCTAGCAGAATCACACGACTTTACACACATAACCATTAATATTTGAAAAATGTCATCAGTACATAACACCAGCCATTCAGGCTTAACACCTTAACTGCCAAAAATGTGTGCAATTTTTAGCACTTCAAAATTCACCTCTCAATTGGATTAGACACGTAAAATGAAAACACATTATTAACAACGATTGGGTAAGATTCAAAATAGCAATTAATCAAGCAATAAATGTAACTATATATAAGAGATATTCCTACAGTCTAGAACTTTGAAATAAAGTTGATAATAAAGATTGCATAATAGATTGTGAGGCATAAAAAGCATAACTATCTATAAATGTAGTGTCATCTTGCACTGCCATATATTAGAATTATAAGCAATTTTAGGGTAGATTTTTTTCTGTAAGACAATAAGTGTAAACAAAAATCCATTGTCCCATTGTCTGATCTCAGAAAGCTAACAGGAGCACCTAAAGCCTTGAATTTGCTTCTACAGTTTCACATTTATTTTTTTCTAGGTCACAAATCTTGTGCTTGCTTTGTGCAACCCTTAAAAAAAAAAAAAATTATCCGGTAAAAAACAAACAAAGAATAATCAAATGTAACCCACAAATATTGGAATGCATGTAACCCAGTGCAAATCCGTGCATTGCACACTCCTGCACTTAAATGGTTAAATCAGGATTCAAATGTTCCCCATTGTATAAATGTCAGAGCAAACGATTGAGATACTGAAAAGAAACATACTAAATTACCATCGAGTAATTGAAATGGTACCTGTTCTTCAGTGTGTAATCTTATATTTTGGGGTCATACATGATTTATGAAATAAATTACTATCACAACAATGTTTTGGAAGACACAAAGGTTTCTCCTGTAGTCTGCAATTTGCCTGTGCTCCCATTGCATTTCTGTTTAATCAGTAACACTCAATGCACTAGTTCTGATGTTCTACTCTGTGTCAAGGCACTGTATTGAAAGATAGAAAAGAAAAAAAAAAACAAGATTGGTCCGAATCAGTAGAAAGAAAACAGAGAGAATTAAAAGCATAAACATGCTGGTCCGCTTTAACAACACTTTGGAAAAAAAAGGTTGTGAGCAAGTACTTTGTCTATTCTCACAGACGGAATCTGTCATGCAGTGCAATTATTTTTATACAGTGCATTCATAAGGATTCAGACAACTGTCTCTTGGTCCAAGTTCACTTCTGTTGGTTTTACGTAACAGCAGTACCTGTTATGGGGACTATTCTGCTTCTGAGGGCAGACTCCACCATCACTATCCCTGGGATCAATTGTAACCTTCTCCTCTGTTGCATTGTAGATAATTCTGTCTGATGCACACGTTTTATCAAAAACAGAACATGTGTTATGGTTTTCCCCCCCGCCTGGTAATGTGTTTGTGGAATAACACTGTTCCAAGTACTTAAGCACCTCATTTTCTTCCGCTTTATTGCTGAGTGTCCTGGCATCCCCTATAGTGATGACTTTGCTAGATTCTTTGTCCTCTCCTTTTTTCTTTGACTCTCCCTTTTTGTCTAGCTCATTAGAACTACCCTTTCCAGACTCCATGTCTGACGGGGTCTTCAGAAGTTCAACATTTTCTTTATCCTTGGGTTTCTTGCAGCAGGCAAACCTTCTGTATGGCCACTTTGTACAGCCTTCAGTTCTCCTTGTAAGGGTAATAGCAGCAACTCCTGGTAGAAAAATAGCTGGTCCTATAGCAATAAGTGGGATGGGTCCCAACATCTCTCCTTTGAACCCAGAAACTGTAAACATAAAGCCAAACACAAGAAAGATGCTCACCAAGGCCACCACCAGTCCTGTACGAGGGTTGATATCATCTGGCCTCATCGCTTTATACCATTAGACTGTACTTTTTGACCATGGGTACATTGATAACTCCTGTTCCTCCAAATTAGCAAGAACCACACTGATCGTCCAAGGTTTTAAAGAAAACACTGTAGTTCTGCTTCTTTGAATATCAAATCCTCTCCCGTCTGTTTGCTGACTCCACAGATCTCACCAAGTCAGAGCCCCTTAGAAATGTTATATTCCCAGTTAGGGGAATCTTAGGACGACAGTGATAACTCTTGTCTGGGATGGGTTATTCATCTGTGAAAACATCACTTCTGCAGCAGATGTGATCCTTGTAGAAACGTCCACTGGGAGTCTAATGCTGTATTTCGGATGCCAGAACAGTGAGATACTGCCTGTGTTTAAACTGAGTCTCAGTGCAAACTGAGAAAGTCATCTCTTAATGCAAGAGAATGTGAAAAGGGGGAGGGAATGGAGGAAGAGCAGAGGAGTGGACTTAAAATACTAGAAACAGCAATCTTTCCACCTTAATAATAATGATAATTTATTTATAAAGCACCAACATTTTCCACACAAATGTACACAAAAAAATAAATAAAAAACTACAAGTATTCTAAGACAAACCGTTTTAGGCATAGAGGAATAATAGGTGATGAGAGCAGTGCTCAAACAACTTTGCTGGAGATTAGTAATATGAGATCAGGTAGATTCTGGAGAAAAAAAAACAGTTTACAAAAAGCACACAAACCCAATGGGCTTAAAATATATCAGTGCACCAGAATGATGATACCACAATACTTACATTTTAAGTCAAAATTGCATTGTAATCTTTTGAGGGTTGACAGATGACTCATATATATATATATATATATATATATATCTCTCACCACAAATCTTTTGGTATTTAGTATATATATGTAGTATATATATATATATATATATACTCACACACACACACATACGCACACAAACACACACACGAAAGAACATTAAGACAATATAATCTCTTGCTTCAAGATGTAATTATTCGGACTATTAAAGATGCTTTAGTACTAACTCAACTGTATGGGGCGTAGTCACTAAGCTCTGACTTGTAGTGAATTTAAACTCGTATGGCAACTATTTGGCTAAAATTGCTGATCAGGGAGAATTGTCCCGCTCAGCTATATTCACAGTTTGACTATTTCAGCTTAAATGATGCCATTCGGATTTCAGCTTGCTACATTTAGGAGTTTACTGAACGAATCCCTCTATAATGAAGTGATACGTTGACAATTTACTTGCAATATTATGGCCTAAATACAGCTTGAAAAATTATAGTTTAGCTGATTTTGATTTTTTTTTTTATCTTGCTACTTTGGCTTACATTTTGCAGGTCAGCTGTAAACGCCATACAATTCACTGTTTAGTTGTTAAATCCTGTATTATGTGTTTTCCTTAAGTAACCAAGCTTCTATTTATAAAGTGTACGAAAGTGCTTGAATAGGTAGATAGACATTTGCTTTAAATCAAGTAAATCAGGTTTCCATACTATTGAGACTGGCCTAATATATAAGATTAATAAGCTGCACATATACAAAATGCCCCAGGCACCACATTGATGCAGACAGAACAGTTTAGTCTTGTTTGAGAATAAACTGCAAAATCATCATAATTGTCCGTTCAAATTTCTATGAGTTATATAACACTGAGCATTTATGTCACATACGGTTCTTTGTGTGATTAAAGTGTTCTAGATTTTCTTAACCCTTTAGGGGCATGTTAGAATGTCAAGTGATCCTCCTTGATATTATTATTATATGCCTAGGAAGCAGTATATTTATTGAATGATATAACACGCTGATGCAAAAAAAATAAATAATAATAATAATAATAATTCTGGTTCTGGTTCTTGAAAAAGACCCTGAGGGGTCGAAACGTCGATTTGGATTATTTGCACTACGATGTAAATTTTTTAGCACAATAAATACACTTTGCCGAATACCTTTTGAGTGCTCCATTTCATCGATTTACTTCTATATATATATATATATATATATATTATAAATGAAAAAACATGTATACATATATGTTCATATGGCTGCTAATTCTAATCAAAGTGACTGAGCACTGAGGTAAATCAGTCACAGACAGAGGGCACAAAGCTTTCGAGGGCACACCATCCTGCTAGCATTTATGGGCCATTCATAATATTTAATTAGTCAGAGTAAAAGGAGGGGTTTTGAAAGGCAAGAAAGCAGAGAGGTGAAGTGGGGAATGGAGCTATAGAGAGATGTAGTAAGGGGGTGGGGAAGAGAAGAAAAAAGAACAGGCTATGAAAAGAAGTTGGTTGAAATGGAACAATCATTCACACAAAAATCATTCACTGCACATACTTAAGTCTGCATGCACACACACTGATGCTCCACAGAAATATACCATCACATTCATACACTAATGCCCCATATACATACACTCTCACATTCACACACTGACACTCCACATAAATAAATCCCTATATTCACACACTGGCACTCCATAGAAACATACCCCATTATTCAAACACTGGCACTCCACAGAAATACAGACTCATGCATTAACGTTCCATAGAAATAAAATCTCCACATACACACACTGACACTCCTGAGAAATACACCTTCCACATTGTGACGGAGTACCTCCACCCAGTCCGCTTCCTAGCCATTGGGGTGGGAGCCTGGAACGCTTCTGCCCCAGTCGCCGAAGCTTGACTGGGGTCTCTCTGGAACTTTTTCACCCAACCAGACTCTTCTCCCAGGCAGGTATCGTCCCCTCTGCCTATTCCTCAGAAGCTTTCCTTCCAGGCAGGTACCATCCCCTCTGCCAATTTCGCTGCAGACCTTCTTCCAGACAGATATCCACCTCTGCCTGCAATGTGATTTATATTGCCTTTACAAAGGCACTTGTGGCTCTCAAGCCTAGCTCTCTTGATTTCTCCCAGGGCTAGCGGGATGGTGCAGCCAGCTTAAAGGTCTGAAGACTCTGTTACCGTGCAACCCACACTCTGACAACTCGACAAAAATACACCTAACATTCACACAATGGTACTCCACAGATAAATCTGCACATTTACACATGGACAGTGCACAGAAGTACAATCAGTCTCTGACTGCCTCTCTGCTATTTCTAACTGGATTGCTGCCTACTTCCTTAAACTCAACTTGTCCAAAACAGAACTTCTGGTCTTTCCTGCCTCAAGTGTTGTTACTCCCGTCTCTGTCTCCCTCCATGTTAATGGTGCTACCATCAGCTCCACCACACAGGCTTGCTTCCTAGGTGTTCTCTTTGACTCTGACCTCTCCTTCACCCCTCATGTCCAGTCGATCACCAAATCCTACCTCTTCCATCTCAAAAACATTGCGCGCATCTGCCCCTACTTAATGCCAGATGTGGCTAAGGTGCTGGTCCATACCACTGTCCTCTCTCGCCTTGACTACTGCAATCTGCTTCTCACTGGTCTTATGTGCTCCCAACTTGCCCCATTGCAGTCTATAATGAATGCAGCGGCAAGGCTCATCTTCCTGTCCACCCGCACCTCCCACGCCTCGCCCCTCTGTCAGTCCCTGCATTGGCTTCCCGTAAGATATAGGGCTCGATATAAAATTCTGGTTCTTGCTTTCAAATCTCTACATAATGCTATTCCCACCTATCTATCCTCCCTAATACACAAGTATGTCCCGTCTAACCTCTCACATTCACACACTGACACAACAAATAAATAATCTGTCAAATTCACATACTGATACTCCACTTAAATACACCCCACATTCACACACTGACATGCCACAGAAATACATTCCAGCCCATACCCATACATTCACACACTGACAAGCTTATTCACTAAAGTGAGAATCCTTATGAATTCAAAGTGATTTCAAAATAAATGTAAATCTAAGGCCAAAATAATTTGCCTATTTTAGACAGAATTTTGAAATTCACTTTTAGTTTGCTTTAAATTTTTGGCGATTCTCACGTTACTGAAAAGCTCTGTGACACTCCACAGAAACACACCCCAACATTTACAAAATGACACTCCATAGAAAGCCACTCTCTTTATATACGCATGTTAACACTCCACAGAAATAAACACACGCATTATGGGGGGATAGTGGCAGTGCAACTCTGTGGAGTGAAACCTTGGCAATAAGCATAAGATGTTATGTTGCATAGAGGTTTGTTTAATACTCCATCCTACCCTGCCCAATTAAAAACATTTTGACACATTTCTGAATAAGTAAGAGTAATATCATACATGTTGTTGCTTGTATGTGATTGGTTGCATTTATATTTAATATCGATTATTTGCAAATATCCTATACATGTTGATCATAGTTTTACTTTGTGTGCTGTTTTTTTGACCCCTTGTCCATACCATATTCCTTTTTTTTTTTTTATAGCAGAATCTCATTCAAGGATGTCTGAAAAAAACAGATGTAAATTTGCAATACTACTGGAATTAAAAAAAGAATGTCTGAATATAAGTATAATACCCAGGGCCATCTTTAATTTTGATTGGACGCTGGGCAAGCATTTACTTGGGCCCCCTGACTACATATAGATACACACAAATATTATGTGTTTTCCTTAAGTAACCACATGCAGATACACACTGACCGCATATAGATACACACAAAAACATACAGATACGCACAGACAACGTATAGATACACTGACACACACATAGACACACACACAGATAGAAACACTGACATACATGCAGATACAAAGGTACACACACTGACTACATATAGATACACCAACACACACACTGACACACATACAGACACACAGATACACAACCTGACACACATGCAGATATACAGATACAAACACTGACACATACAGATACATACACAAACACAAATGGACAACATACAGATACAGAGACACATTCTGACAGACGTATTGACACAGACTCACACACAGACAGCCATACTGAAACACACATACACAAAGACATACTGAACCACACAGACACTGACGGACTCACACACACAGACATACAGATACACTGACAGACATACTGGCACATATACACACAGACAGACAGACATACTGAAACACACATACACACAGAAACTGACAGACATATTGACAAACACAGACATACAGAACCACACAGACTCTGACAGACTCACACATAGACATATTGACACACTGACAGACATACAGACATTCTGGCACACATACACACAGACAGACATACTGAAACACACATACACACAGACACTGACAGACATACACACATACAGACATTTTGACACTCACAGACAGTCATACTGAAACACACATACACACATACATACTAACCCCACAGACACTGACAGACTCACACACACAGACATACTGACACACTGACAGACATTTTGGCACACATACAGACAGACAGACAGACATAC